ATACTGCCAATCTTTTTACGCAAGTAGCTTATGGGTGAGTCATACTCGGCGGGCCGCGGATGTCATTAGAGTTCAGTACAACAATGTGTTCAGGATGCTGTTGCGGCTGCCTCGGTACTGCAGTGCTTCTGCTATGTTTGCGGAGGCGCGCACTGATGGCTTTCATGCAATTATGCCGAAGAAAGTCGCCTCTATTTTCATGCGTGTATTTCAGTAGCAACGGCATCCTGAAGATGATTGCTTCACGTGCGGATTGCCGTATTTGATTATATTGTTACTTTTGACATTGTTGAGTTTTATGTTTTATTAATAGTGTGACTTTTATATTTTGTTGTATTTTAATATTATTTTAATTTTTATTGCTTTTGTTGTTAGTTATTTTCTTCATCAATTATTATATTATTCTGGCTATATCGACTGTGTCTGACATTAAATGAATTATTTCCATATATTTATTTAAAATTCTCTATGAATTACATTTTTAAATACTACTTATAAAAAAAACAAAAATAATATTTAAAAATATAAAAAATAGGAGCCGACCAGTAGCGGGAGCATGGTCCAAGCTACCGGTGGTTAGGGCTCCAGAGACAGAAACCTCCTCACAATGCGCGCCGTTTCAAGGAGAACTGCCTTCTGTATCAGGCCCTTGACCCAACTGCCTAACGCTAGCCTCCTAAGGTGGTCGTCGAGGCTATTAAGGATTAACCCATTGGCCGACACGACTATCGGCACAATGATAGCCGAATCTACATTCCACATGTCGACAACCTCGTGAGCCAAATCAAGATATTTATGATAAATGAATTATTATTATTATAAACCCTTATAATACACTTTCACTGAACAATGTTTCAACAGGATTTTATGATCCAGTATTGACCTACTATTGGAATAAGTATGGTACCTACGTTGATAACCAGAAATAATCGCACCTCTAATTAACCACATTGGTTGCTCGCGGAGAACCTAACGGGTTGCCGGGCTCCGGCTCGAAGTGCAGGAGTAGGAACGGGGTGGTTTTTAGTCAGTAAGAGTCTGACAATCCCTCCCGCCTCTCCCAGGCGGGTGAATTCATTCGACGACTTTACCTCTTTAAAAAAATATTGCTTCTGCGCAAGTAAATAAAACAAAATGTAATCATTATCAAACGCTTTATTTTCAGCCAAAAAAAATTACATTATATCACAATTTATACATTTGTAGCGTAACCTCCGTGCATTACGTGGAAAATGAGATTTTTATAACAAACTAAACTAAATTTTTAATATCAACACAGTAAATAAAAATGTATCGTATAAAAATCCGAAGTAATTAAAAACATTTATAATAACAAATATTATTGAATTCGAAAATATATAAAAAAAAACTAATAAGTATGTACCTACGCGATGTATTATGCATAAAGTGAGTATACTAATTGTACACCTCTGCCTACGACCCTCTATAAGTAATTGCGTGATGTTTGCGTGAAACATTTTGACAATATAACTTTATTTATCGTGTATCATGTGGAACTTATTTTACTTAAAAACGACTACTGCAAGGATCAATATTTTTCAATTAAAACTAAAATTTATATTTACTAGCTTCTACTAGTGGCTTCACCCGTGGGATAATAAGTAGCCTATGTGTTATTCCAGACCATAGTCTACTCCTTTTCCGAATTTCATATCGATCCCTTCAGCCGTTTTGGCGTGAATGAGTAACAAACAAACATTAAACTTTCGCAGTTATTATTAGTAGAATAACTATAATCGTGTAGGTACCAACCTATAGGTCTTTGCATTGTAAAATCATTTTATCTATACAAAATAAAAAAGATACCGAGACAATTATTGAGTGTACAAAATCTTTATGACACAAAATAGAGCTGCGAACACAAGAGACAAATCTATATTTGTATTTACATACAATAAAATACAAACTTTTTGTTGGAGGTACACCATAAAAATATAGAAGAAACAAACATTTTAGGACAAAACTTAGGTATTTCTTCCAATTATATAATTTCAGTAATAAGTTTATGGGGACTAAAAGTACTGCGCTATTGTAATTAATATAAAAGCATACGTCTTTATTTGCTTTGATAATTTCCCATACATATTATAATTGTCATGTGTAAGTCTTAGGAGATCTTACAAATTCATACAAGTAGATAATAATTCATAGTCTAATAATATTCAAAATAAATACTTTATCGAAATAACTTTAGCTTTTTTGCATAAACTAAAAAAAAATTAAACCTAATCATAAAATTTGGAAACATCGAAACGATTCAAAATAAAATAATACCATTTTTAAATAAATACTGTTTTAGTAACATCCAATTCATAGATTCAAAGTTAAATTTAGAATTCATAAATCTTATTCCATCCATCGTGATGAAAAAATTCACACAAAATACCTAATTGCGACATTTTGAGAGAGCTGTAGACAACACAAATATCTTTTATAATTAGAATACAAATATCCCTTCAGTTCGGTTTCCTAAACCTACTTATACTAAAAAAAATCTTTAACAAAATCATTTAATGATAATTCAATTCCTCCTATGTAAATAAATGCGTTTCTAGGACATTCCAGTGACATTTATTAACAACTGGATTTATATGTAAATGAACTAAACCCATGTCTAGTGTCAAAGATCCTAACTAAATTTTCAACCCACCAACGGCAAAAACACTTTCCTAATTACCTTCTAAGATTATTTAGACATCACTGACAAACGGTGAAGGAAAACATTGGGAGGAAAACCTGGGCTTATGATTTCTTATTATAAATTGGAAATCGCCAATCCGCATTGAACAAGCGTAGTGATTAATGCTTAAACCTTATCCGTGTGAGAAGAGGTCTTTGGTCAGCAGTGGCCACTTCTAAGGCTGTTGATGTGATGTAAATATGATCATATTGATTGCTCGGTTGGCGCAGTAGCTGGTTTGGTTGGTCGGATTGTTGGTAGGTTGGACGTATTCGTTCTATTCCCCTACGAAACAATTCTTGGTGTGATCAGATTAAACTGTCAAACAATAAGCGGACACCGGTGACCGCAACCTATTGTTCTATAATTGTGTCTATAATGACGGTACTCGACGAGTTAAATCCAAATCTTGTATTTACACCCATGACACAAGAGAATACCATGGAGCAATGTTAAAAAATGTTTCTTATGTAACTAAACATTCTATGTATCATACAAATTATCCTTGTATAAAAGTGATTTATAAATTGCATGAAACCTTTTTAAAGTATAGACCTTTTTTAAAGTATAATGCCATTATATTGACAAAAAAGTTCCTATATATTATCATAGTAAGGGCACACTTAACACCTAAATATAAGCCTCAAAAGTAATGCTATCTTCAAACTTACAAAGAAATACTAGAATAAATTGTTCTTTCAATTACAAACTATGACTATGTATCAGGGATATAATTAAACTATTACATTTATCTGATATTACATTGATATTGCCATTACTGTCTGTAACCTAATTATAAATGCATTTGTCGAGAGCAATATCTACTTTTAGAAATCGATTACCTTTCACTTACGGCCGAAATCATTAACATAAACGATTGTATGGAGTTGTCGTCAAAAAAATCAAAATCGATCCAACCATTTTCGAATAAAATCGAACAAAAACCTACCTAAGTGATAAATATTTTAGTTTCTTTTTGCATTGTTTTAATAAACCTATAGTTTCTAATCTCATCATATCTACAGCTGCTTCATAAATATGTCTCATCAAATTTGTGACAAATGTTATTACGATAGAATATATAAATTGAACTTAAGAAAAACTTTATCCGTATTACCTAAATAAAATTGTGATCGTACATAGTAATACTTTTTACACTTAATTACAATAATTGCCAATGTAACAAAATTTATACAAATAGCATGTATCAAAAACACATAAGCTAAACATTGCGGTGTAGGATGACATTGCTGACACATACTTATATTTATTGAGAAATACAACTATTCATACGTCGTTATATTTAGCGGTTGCACAATCCTTGCCTGGTTGCAAAATAAGCATCAAATATCGTGTTAACCATAACTAAATTATCAAATATCACAATTGCATTTATTAAAAACACAAGATAGGTATCTACCTACGTGTGTAATGTGTATCTATATTATTACACCTTAATTAGGAAAGAAATCTACCTTTAATCACTATTGAGAATTTATAGCGTGATTGATATAACTAACAGCTTATGTTATTTATGCTTCCAAAGTGCACATGTATTTTAGCAGAAAACTTCAATTATTTGACCCATAATAAATATAAAATGAGTCCTAAGTACAATCGGTCCACACAACTTTTGGATTGCACAACCAAATCTGGTATTATACGTACAACTTCACAGTGTATAAAACAAACCAGATTTAGACATCATTCTGTATCAGATTATTTCCCATTCGCTATCTAAATGGTCGTCTGGAGATAGAAGCGAGTGGTCCTTGAAGCCATTTTGTTTTGTCTCCAATTTCAGTTCTATGTTCTCTAAGTTCCACGTGTTAGGTAGTTGTACGACTTTGGGCACTAAGTCTATAGGGCTTGGGTCCTTTATTGGTGTTTTTGGTTTAGGGATGTGTTTGGGCGTTACCTCGGTGGGTTGTATGTCGATGTGCCTGAAGGTGGGCGCTGGTGGCGGCGGTGTCTCCGTGTCCAGCTTTGGACTATTTATACTGAGTGACTCTAGGTTCAACATCTTCGCTAGTATCTTCTCCTTCTCTTCTATTTGCTTCTCTAGTAGTTCGTCGTTCGGTTGTGCTATGGTCCTGGAATAATGACACGGAGTGATTTTTAAAACTTAAACTTAACATAACATCACGCCTTTTATCTCGGTATAAGGGGTAGGTAGAGGTGCACATTATTTTTTTGGCCAATGTACAATGTAACACCCACTTTTCACTATTAATGACATGAGTCCCATGTAATAGGGGGTGAGCCCATTGCCATATACCGGGCAAAATTTCATGCTCCGTGCTACTACTGAGATTTTTTGAAAAAAAAACCCAATAATACTTTGCTCGAGCCGGGAAATCGAACCCGAGACCTCTTGCCCGGCAGTCGCACTTGCGACCACTCGGCCAACGAGGCAGCAGTAAACAGATTTACGACTTACAGAAATCGAAAATACTTTATTCGACTTGGGAATCGAACGTTTGTTTAGCAGTTGTACTTCGACGACTATTCTACTAATCATTTCATATTACTTACCCGCAAGTACTAATATTCATGACACAGGAGCTATTATAGCTGACATTATCTGCCTTCCTGACCGGGGTAGCCATGCGCGGCGTACTACCACCGGACCCGCCATCCCTCCGCCTACTGCGCCTGCTACTATGTATCAACTCCCCATCATACTTCTTCTCCATTATACTATTATACAACTTCAACTTCCTTTGCAACTCCTCGGTCTTCACTCGTCTGATTTCCTCAGCATCACTGGACACTTCTCTGAACTCGTTTACTATGGACTCTAGAACGTTCTCCGAGAGGTCGTGGGGGAGATGTTTGATGGGAGGGAGTTCGAAGCACTCCTCAGCACTAGCTACGGTCCCGGTCTCAATGATCTCGTTCTTCGTGAACATGGATATAGGTTGTTCTAATACGCTGGATATATAGGGCACCGTCTGGTCTATGTGTGTGAAGTCGCGGACTGAATTGACTGCCTGCTGGATCGATGACGTCAGCGATTTCGTCATCAAGTTTATTGGCTCCTCTGTTGAAGAATTTTGTGTTATGTTAGGGTTGTATTAGTGTTTAAAATAATTGTATAAAAAATATTTGAGAAGTAGAGGATATTTCGAAACGTATCGTACTTATTTGGTCAGAAAATAACATAGCATAACATCACGCCTTTTATCCCTGAAGGGGTAGGCAGAGGTGCACATTATGCCACTGTATAATGTAACACCCACTTTACACTATTTATGTTATGAGTCTCATGTAATAGGGGGTGAGCCTATTGCCATATACCGAGCAAAATTCCAGACTCCGTGCTACTACTGAGAGTTATTTAAAAACCTAGTAATAATTTGCCCGATCTGGGAATCGAGACCCCTTCAGGTCAGAAAATGTGTAAGTACAGAAAGAAAGAAATAGTAATAAGTGTAAAAAGAAATAGAAATTGTGTAAGTGTAAGGTGTACTTTAAAATAAATGTGTAAATAAAAACTCTTCTAATGATATGGAACTCAAATAAGTTATGTTTCAATATTTTCAATGTATGTCTCGACGAGACTCGAACTCGTCAAAGACCATGTTACAAACTTCTTCAATTTATATTCGAAACTGTAAAAAATATAGTCATAACTACAGAAAATCAGCAGCTAATATTAGCATTAAGTAAAATAGTGTTAAAAAGCAGTTTCGAGCAACATTACAGGCAACTCAGGCAAGCCATTGCTCGTATACATAAATATACATACAGAAGCGATAGGTGTCTGGTTTTAAATAAAAATGCGTATATATTTGTGCATGTGTATATTTATATATAAGTCAATGGCCATGCTAACAGGACAATGGATGATCATACACTTGCTTGCAAACGTAACATCACAACATATCGCATGCATACGAAAGAAAAAAATATACAAAAATCGTGCAGAAAAAAAACAAAGAAAAAATAACTTAATAACATAGAAATAATTAGCTTAAAAACTATTTCGAATATAATATTCTTGCAAGCAAGTGTACTAGTCACAGAAACATCTCACTACAGCGGGTAACTAACTACATACAGGTGTTTCATTTTTTCTACACAATACATTCTACCCTGTAAATACAAATAATTTAACAAGCTCAAATAGTTCACCCTGTATACGAAGCTTTTATTAATAGGCGACAGATCTAAACTACGATTATTATTTTAAGTAGATAAATGCAGAAATAAATACTTATTTTTCAAGCATTAAATTAAGTACTAAAGTAATTTTATTAATTTTTTTTTTAGAACTATGTGATAAATATTATAATTATGAATAATTGTAACAAATTAGAACACTAACGAACTCATTAATTGCATATTTTTAAACAAATAATCTTAAAAAATATTTTACAAAACTTATAATTTAAAACTGATACCACTTTTGTCGAAACATTAATTTCTTAAATAAAATATTTACGTTTATCCTATTTACATGATATCTTCAGAATAAATAATGTTTTATCTTACTATATTAAAAACAATAATTTATGACTTAATAAAGGCTCATGTTTTCCAAACTCCACAACTTCAAGTACTTCATTGGTATTTTTTTAATATTTGTATCTAAATATTTATTTCTGCATTCATCTTGAATCTGGCACTAGAATACATAAAGACAACTTCACAAACACTCCAATAGCTTAACTGCCAATGGACATCAATGATGACGTCACTACATAACCTGACGCTTTTATTTCGCTATAAGATAGACTGGACAATTATCACACCCAATTTTCGCCTGCCATGTTACAAATCCCGTGTAGGCGGGTGAGCCTATTGATGGCAATAGACGTATGTATGAACATACGGGCATACTCATGGCCGAAATGATTACCTTACCTCCATTCACAATCTGTATATAAGGATCGATTTTTGACATTGGTTGCATGAAGTTTCTGTCAAAATCGATTGTACGTAATCGATAGATTTTGGATGGAGTTATATTATTAAATTCGGCTATATAAATGTATATTAGGAATGTATAAGTACATAGTATTGTCTGTTTAAATACATAATTTAGGAATCGGATTACTTACAAGTATGTCTTACTCTACTTGTCTACGACCATTTTCAATTACCACAACATCGACAGATTAAATATGGAGTATAAATTAGGAAAACGACAGAAAATTGTTTAAATAAGTAGTAAGTTTAAACCAATTTATCCTGGTGTCGCGTCGCATCATCTTTCCGTACATTTAACGTTCAGTTTATACTGGTTAAGCAAAGCTCGATGTGTAGCCGTGTGTACCTATCGCTCGTTGGAAATTAATTTGAAACAGGGACGAATCCCAAAATATACGCATCGTATATTGTAAGCGGCTATAAAGAAAATAATAAAGATTTTCTGTAGATAGAGTATCTAAATCTTGTTACCTTGTATACTGTATATAACTAATAATATAATATATTGAAGAATGCAGTATTGAGACATGGTCGTTACATAATCGTTTGGCTACACATTTTATACAAACCACAAGAAAACTACGTCTCGAGTGCAGATACATCCTCTATTTAACTGTACTAACAGCTGAAAATCCACAGCATAAAAAAGGATATTTTTAGTGCAACCCGATGTAGTTTTCTCTTAATGGTATGTTTACAAATATTTCACATAGAACTTGGCCTAAGTACAGGTTATACTATTTAGCACAAGTAAATATAATAGAAATTGTCATTTGATATTATTAGTAAATATTAAAGTAGGTTTTGTAATTCGAAACTTGATAAAATGAGTTTTTGTTTACACCCAAAGCAAAAGGAAGTAGAAATGTCGTAATGTTTAATTGCATTATAGCAAAATCTATCAAATAGTACCTTTTCTATTATTTACCTGTACAATATATATAATTATTTCTAGTGGTAATATTTAAGTCATAGTGTAATATTATCGTTCACCGCTTATTTGTTAAATTGTCAAAAATGACTATTCCTACACTATTTAAACAAAAACAAATATGAAAACTAAAAAAAAACTTTAATTTTGAGATAAAACCAATTTCATCAATCCGTAATAAAAATAAATTAGGTGTTCCTAAAAAATTCTTGATATCGCAATTTTATACCAATAACAAGCAAATGGACAGCTAAACTACCCCGTTTAAAATTAAATCTCCTAAGCCCTTAAGAAAGCACCTATGTTAATACTATACCTACAATAATGTAACAAATTGCTAGTAAATCGGCACTCATCTAAGTAAAGTAAATATATTATTGTCTATGATACATGTATACTATAAACTTACATTGGTCGCAATTTGGTATGATTAAGGCACTTCTAATTACTTACTAACTTACACAAATAATGGTACAGACACTAGTGGGTGAACCTATTCCAAATTGTCAATTTTTGCATTGGATTTTCGACATTAAATAACAAAGCAATAAAGTTGACAATCACAGAAGTAATCACGGAGTAGGTTAACTTGTTGGCGTCTGTATACACCCCTAGCAAGATTCAAATTTCTTCAATAGAGCTTCGCGAGGATTGGTAGAAATGCTCACATTAAAAACATACATTTCTGCCAATAAATTAGTTCCATGCGATAATAGCCTACTGCTATGCCAGAGGGCTTAGATTCTAGAAGGTCCACCGGTCTGATTGGTTCGTTCAAAGGAGCAGGCCAATCAACCAACCAACAAACTCGCCCTCAGACTCCATGCTACTACGAAGCATTAAAAAAAAAGCTAAGAAGTCTCTTTTCTTAGAAAGACTTTGATTTTTCAGTTTTGTAATAAAATAGAAAATGTTATAATGAATAAATTACATTATTTTAGCAGTCGCTTAATATTAATAATCCTAACTAAACTGTTATAAAGTAAATCTAATTTCTACAGAATATAATCTCAGTGTTTTGTTAACAGAGCGTCTAATATTAGCTTTATAAGTTTATAATTGCATATTAACTGACATAATGTCACATTTGTTATAGGTTAAAGGGTAGATTGCATGCATTAATTGCTATTTTACGGCATTTTAATGGTAACAGGTTCTATATATCTGTTAAAAATGAAAATAGCTAACAGCTAAGGCTAATTCCATTCGTTGAGAAACTTGAACTAGGGTCAAAAGTAAGTACAACAAAAATAATTAGTCATGTGAAAAAATCTTAGTCAACACAGATTCTCGAGTTAATTGATAATAAACTTTAACACCACCACCTAAGGTACAAATTAATGCGGAAAGTAAATTCAATAAATGTGTCTAAGCTATTCTATTAGTTTAGGATGATGGCACTATACTTAAGGCATATATTAGCTACTTCTTCTGCCAGCGGTCCTAGGTCTTCGCTGGCGTGCCCCTAGTAAAAGTGTTATTATTACAGACCACAATCTACCTCTGTTTCAAATTTCATCTCGATCACTTCAGCCGTTTTGACGCGAAGGAGTAATAAACAGGGATGTTATGGACATGAAATTCCGGATACGGATATAGTAATGATTATTATACTGGATTTTTTTAAGGGGGGAAAATCATCGAATGACTGCTCCCGCCTGGGTGAGGCGAGAGGGAGTGTCAGACTCTTACCTGAGTAAAAACCACGACGTTCCTTCTCCTGTACGTCGAGCCGGAGCCCCGGTTACCCGTTAGGCTCTTCGCGACATTACTCAAGGATAAGATTGAAAAACTAATAGATATATTTGTCACTATCAAGACTTTGCAAAGTATTTTCAGAAGATATATTTATTAAAGATCCTAATATCCTAGTCTAAATGCCGTAGATATGTATTTATTATTGTCTATAGAATATTCAATATTGTATACTTTCATATGAATACTTTAGATTGTAATATATTATGTATAATGGATGGGTATATAAATGCAGTATAAGTATAAGGACGGAAATATATTTTATATAATTTATATAATACTTTATAAAGCACAACGCTGTGTAGTATAATAACAACCGTTTTAAAGTATAGTTTGTTATAAAATATAGATTGTTATTCCTTTGGAATGACCAATTATCGTCCATGGAAAACTAACTTAAAATTTCAACTTTTATAAAGAGC